AAATGTGCGCTGCTTTTCGGTCTGGTTACTACCGTTTATGTCAGAACCGGTGCCATCATGGCACCGGACACCGGTACCCATCCCTAGCCGTTAGTAACACTGTTACTTGTAACGCCGTTATTCCCATCACTGACATGCAGATGATAAATAATACACAAAACTACACAGATCATATCATCTATATCCAGAACACAATCATTGCTCACATCTTAAAATAAATCCTTGTGTATTCGCAAATTGCATAATGCTTTTAGATATCCCAAAGAGCTTCAGCAGATACTGTAGCCCTAAAATAAAAAATGTAAAGTAAATAACATCAGTTTATTTTGAAGCAAATCTCCAAAGTTGGAAACTCAAAGCAAGATAATTCAGTTGTGTTCTTACCACTAGGGAAATTCATGCTGAAAACCATCCCTTTACAGTGTACAGAATTTTTGTTGAACTGGAGTGTGTGTCTAATACACTTATACTTAGAGTATAACCCTTTAACAGCTCACTTTGTATTAAGTTTTAAAATGATTACGTTAAAAGATTACAAAAAAGACATACAAAGACATACAAAGACTTATTAAAAAATTCAACAAAAGTAAGTACATTTTATTTGTATAGGAGATTTAGAACCACAGTGCTTAAGAGAAAAGATAAATAAAAAAGTAAAAGGATTCCTAAAAGTTCCTAAATAGGCTTCAACTGCTGGATGGACCTCTTATGAAGCAGATCTTAATAATCTGAGGGAGTGTATGGACACAGCGTGTCTACCACAATTTCAGGCTGTCATTGGAACTGGTGCCACTCTATACTAGAATCTCTATTGCATGGTGAGTCACAAGATCATAAAAATGATCTCAGTCATTCAGTATACATGGTACTACAGTAGTCCAGACCAGATGCTCTAAAAGCATGCATAGCCCTTTCAAAATAAGATGATTTTCGAATTTGTGTCAAAGATGATCCCAAAGACAGCTGCTCAAATATTCAGTTACACAAGTCTGATATTGATATCAGTTATATTAAGTGATTAGTGAAGACCTAGAACTCACGTTTCTCTTTGCAGTCCTCATCTGACCTCGTCCATACGTTCTCTCTTGTAAGACTAAAAAGTAGAGCTCAGTCTTTGGCATTTTACTGAGGTTTTAGTGCAGCGACATTGCCTGCCTGTCACAAGCATGGACACTTCACTAGATTTGGTTCAAGAGGCTGGTTTGAAGATGAGGAACATGTGAGAGGCAGCCTCAAAGACAGCCAGAAGCACAGAGGAGGGGCAGTAATTGAAATGGGGGTGTCATTCATCAGATCGCACAGAGGCAGCCACAGTGTGGTCCAAACAGAGTGCTGCAGAGGATGTCTGAGAGGGAGTATATGTGTGTGTGAGTGGTTGTGTCAGCCGGCACAACAAAAAGACCGTGGCGCATCATTCTTCTTTGGCGGAAGGGCAGATGAAAGAAAGAGAAGAGAGAGAAAAGTGCACTCGTTTATTTTGTCATTTTCTATTCTCCCCCTTGGTGCTCAGAAAATCACCTCCCGTTTGATTTAGGGAGACAAACAATTGGCGTGACGTGGAACTCTCATCCTCACCATGTGTGTGTCCACTGTTTTTTTTTCAAAGCTCTTCTGTGCCATATACTGTACATCCAGTAGGAATCTGTATTATTACCTCTACAAATATATGCATACTCTCCCATTTAAGTTCCCTCGCGGCAACAAAAGGGTGAAATAGCTCAGAGGTAAAAGGGATCCGAGTACTATGGTTTAAGTAACTATACCTTCCCATCACTCAGCCATTCACACAAAGGGATTCATGCTAAGGGCAGCCTTTGAAGAATGAATGATTCTTTAGATTTTTTAATGGCATATTACTTCAGCATGTGAGAAATGCATATTTTGAAAGACGCTAAATTTTGCAGTACTCAGAGGATAGTCAAATAGGTGCAGCATTTTATTGAAATATGTGCAAACATACACTGAAAACAGACCACAACTCAAAAAGTCAATATTTGGTTCTCCAACACAGCCTGAGCTCTCTTATTCAACCTGTCTTGTGATTTCTTTAAATAGGCTTCAGGAATAGTTCTTCAGGCTTGATGAAGGATATTCAAATCTCTTCTTTAGATGTTCGCTGCACTTTGTTTGCCTCTCTGTCGAGATAATGCTACGATATGCCTTTCCTTTATGATGGACAGATTTTCAGTCCAGCTCTTGTATGATTTGGCATACCTCAGCCTTTTCGCAGTGTTTCTCTTCCTTAAGCATGGCTGCCTGACAGCCACCCTTCCACTGAGACCTGTGTCAGGTTTTTCCTGAATTTTCTCCTATTTCTTAAGGACATGACTTATAGATTCGTTTCATTTGCTGTAGATATTTTTAGGCCTTCTATCCATCTATCTACAATGATCTCTGCATACACGCGTATATACTATGTGGATAGTTAACAGCTACCAAAATGAAGTAGGTACCTCTAAAAAGAAGCAAAACTATGTGCAAGGAATGCAGTTTGTTTTTTTCATTTTTTAGGAAAATTTAATTGTTATCTCGCTAATGTTTACATTTTAACTGTCAGATGCAATCATTTATTGTTTTACTGTTGTATTACTTTTACATTTTACTAGT